TGACAATATCTCAAAAACTATGGGTCGTAGAGACATTCCGATGGCATATTCTTGTTCCTTGGTCCATTCTGCATCCGGAGACATCTGAGATGACAATCTCGGACCAAAACTCTAGTCAAAGTGCAAAATACCCAAAATGCCTGCAAAACCACTAATTTGCCCACAGTTCCGGAAGTAAATTTTTCTCGGCCAAACGCTTCCTGGCCTTTTTTTCAATTCAATTGAGGAACATGTCCACCAAATATCAGCCAAATCGGACGAGGTCGTAGGCACGAGCTGTCCTTCTTAAATAAATCCACTCTATGGCAATTTTGCATCCCTCCCATGGACATAGACCAAATCAGGCGCGGTATAAGGAGGGGGTGACAGGGGGATGCACTGTGGGTTGCCTACATACAGGGGGTTTGTAGCACAAATAGCCTACCTTTCAGGCGGCTCACTAGAGACGATGTGGGGAGGGCGATCGCCCCCCCCCCCCCCCCTTATACCGCGCCTGGGCCAAATCATGATTTGGCCAACCATAGAATGCAAATTTGTAACTTGCATGATAAAGGATCAAGAACTACAAAGAGCTGCAGAAAAATTCATCTTTCTCGGAACAAAAAATTGCCGTTTCGATTTAGAATGCAGTTGGTAATCCGGTGTACACCAACTTGGTAATCATTGGTAATCTTTGGTAATCACTGGTAATCTTTGGTAATTACTGGTAATGTTTGGTTCACTGGTAATCTGTGGTAATCAATGGTAATTAATGGCAATCTTTGGTAACCTCTGGTAATCTTTTGTCAGTGGTAATCTTCGGAAAAACTTGGTAATCATTGCTAATCATCACTTTTTGGTAATCAGGTGTACACGATTTTTTCGAGTTGGGCACGACCCCTCGTGGGAAACAGAACGGGACTTTTTCCTCAAACTTTTACCTTTGACAACTACCCAGTGAGAAATGCGGACATCGAATTGACATCAGAACGATATCGGACATCAGAAAAGTGTCGATTTCGGGCCCATTGTCGTATCAGTTCTGAGTCAGAAGCTTGAAAACGATATCGTTCTGATATCGATTCGATATCGCTTCAAATTCATTTCGCACTGGGATATGCTCCGGAAAAACAAATGTAGGACCTTCCTGATGGTGTTACATTTTAATGACTTTGTATTCCTAAAGGCACGAAAGTGTCCAAGGAGATGAAAATTTAGTCTACCTTTGGGCAGTTTTAATGCATTGTAGAGGTGCTAATTGTTGATGCATTTTTGTAAAGGCATTAAAACCCTTCAGTCCTGCCTTTGTGTTTGCCCCTGGTTGTCGAGTTTTGTGACTTTTGAATTTTGGACTTCCCAGCGCGTTTTGGAGACATTTTGCCCGTTTTGCCCACTGTACGCACGGGTGTCGAAGGGGCTGCCTACCTTACGGCGCGGAGAGACATCACGCGCGCTCCTGAGTGGTCACGACCAAAAGCCTTCTCTATGCACCTCTTACCTCGGCTTGAGTCGTCTTTGCAGCCGAAAATTGTGGTTTAATTTACCGTCCCCGGCCAGCTTACTTAAGACATAATTTTACCACAAAAGATGCAACTTTGATGCAAAATTGTCCCAGTTTTCATGAAATTTCAACTATTGAAGTTGATGGAATTTGGATCGGTGATTGCCAGAACTACACGGGGCTCCGTCCGGAGAACGTGGGGAAAATGTGATTCACAATGCCATTCTATTTCAACATTTTAAAAAAGCAGCCAGAACGTTAAATACGTATGACAGTATACCGTTTGTCACTGGCCTCTAGCTTACTTCTTAATTCTTGAAATAAAAATACCATACTTCCGCCAGTACGGGGTTGCGTCACGCTTTGAATTTAGATGCGGAATCTTCCTCAACTGCTGCCAACCTTCCGCATATTTCCGGTCTGCGGGACGGAGTCCAAATGTATGGTGTTTAAAGGGTGGCAACATCGGTTAGGCATCCGGTGTCGGCGGCATTCGGCAATGTGCAGTATAAACAGCGGCATCAACTACTTGTGATTGTTTGACATTTAAACCTGGAGTGCCTTCGCCAATTTATTCAAAATGGTGAAATTAACTCCAGATCTCATCAATCAATCGATGCAGTATATAAATCCCGTTCGGGATCGTGAGCTGGATCTAAGAGGTAGAGTTTCAAAGGTGTCAATACTCACCCGCCAGTACGACTAACCTTAACATTGCTGTCTTTTGAAATTCACAATAATGTTTTAACGTATTTTTCTTGGTATAATCAATCATATTGAGACGCAATTATGATTCGAAAATATTATCAGCACACGGTGGTATCGAAAGAGAGGGATAGCTTCCTGAGTAGTTCACGGTGTCCACTAAAACTTTCTCATTCTGATACAAATACACAAACAAACATTTTCTTTAGTGTCTTTTGTCTGGAGTATGCACTAAATTATCCAATCAAAATGAATTCATAACTAATATACTTACTAATTAAATCTTGTTGTCATACCATCTTATAGGTTATAAAATTCCAGTTATTGAGAATATGGGCGCAACTCTGGTAAATCATTTGACTACTATGTAATCCTTTGATACAACCTCAACACAATATTAATCACCTTTGTTCCTAATTTACTTCCTTAGGATCAGTTCGATACTATTGATTTCTCTGACAACGATATCAGAAAGCTTGATGGATTTCCGTTGCTGAAAAGGTTGAAGTGCCTGTTAATGAACAACAACAGAATAGTGTATGTTTCGTAGGCCTTGCTTATTTTATTTTACCAATTGATAAACAATTTCACATTAATCTTATTTTATTGCAGGAGATTATCAGATACACTAGTGGAACAAGTTCCAAATTTGGAGTCCTTAATACTGACTGGAAATCAAATGCAAGAACTAGGTGATTTGGATCCTCTTGTACATTTGAAGAGCTTGACCACCTTAAGCCTTTTATATAATCCAGTAACTTCGAGACCACACTACAGACTATATCTTATTTACAAACTTCCCCAATTGAAACTTCTCGATTTTCAAAAAATTAAACAAAAGGTTGGTTTCTTTATTGCTGTTTCTATATTGTTATGTTATTTACATATTTACACAATATTTCATTAATTGTGCAGGAAAGGGAAGAAGCCAAGGCCTTGTTCAAGAGTAAAGTTGGAAAAGAAATCCAACGAGAAATTGCCAAAAAGGCTAAGACATTTGTCCCAGGTGCTGGCCTGCCTTCAGATACTCCAACAGCCAAAGGTATGACATTTTCAGTGGCAGTGAAAATATTAATATGAGAAAAATATTGTATTAATGTCACTTCATTGCAGGGCCATCTGCTGAAGACCTGTGGAAGATGCGAGAGGCCATTTCAAAGGCCAGTTCCTTGGAAGAAATTGAACGCCTCAACCGGTTATTACAAGCAGGACAAATTCCTGGAAAGAAAGCAGCTGGAAATGGAAAAGGTAATCATCAAAATAATTTGTCTACCATTTGCTTGTGTTTGTTTTGAATAGATTTGTCATCTTAGTTTATTTTACCTTGTCTTAAAGGTCTACCAAGAGGAGGAGAAGAAGAGGAGGAGGAGGCAATGGATACTAGTCAGGCAACAAATGGAAACTAATCACAGTTTAGGAATCAATCATGCTATAAAGTGCAATCTAGACTTCAAGCAATTTTCTTGCAATGCAGTACTTGGCGTTTTTGTTACTATTTGGTCACAATTTGTGTATTATTTTTTTAGCTATTCTTTTTTTGTTATAAAATTTTCTTATACATGACCATTTAAGTGCTGCTATATTTTGCCTCCTCAGGTAAGTATAATAATTATTCTATCAACTGCCTTGGGTGTAGGATGAGGCATTAACTAAAGGGAATACTTTTAATGTTTGACTTCCTCCAAGGCGATGTGATATTAAATTGATGTTCTAATAAACTGGTATTTTGTCTGGAAAGAACAGAATGACTACAAATGTATGAATATAGGATTGGTCTCTAAAATAAATTTTGAGATGAATTGTTCATTTTTGTTGCTTTAATTATGTTGGATGTGCCTTAGCAAAAGTTGAGAAGCGATTCACTCCTGCTTTTGAGCATGCTCCAACTTTCCTTTTTAAAGTAGTTAATACTCTTACTCTATTATATTGACGTGAGGCTCAAATTGCGGTAAATTTAACTGGTTCTCGTGCCAGATTGTCACACTTGCCCTGTCAATGGTGCTGACTAGCGGAATGATTTTAGTTACAGGATGCCGTCACCAAGTGCAATTCTTCAGCCTCAAGACATGTTTTACACTCTCCGTAGATTGCCAATTCACATGTAAAAATGCATTTGTTACATTTCAATGTAATAAATTGAACAGGCCCATCAAAGTCTTTAAAAGTGCAATTATTTATGTATTTTGAATAATTTTTCCTAAACTTGTGCCCACTTTACATAAAGTTGTACAAATCAATGGATGTGACAGAAGCATTGCTGCTGTCGGGCGATCCAAGGGCGAAATGCGAAGCAAAGTATGCAGAAGCTGTTCCATCCCTGCTGAATACTTAGTTCTATCAATGGGAGTTACTTGGCCGTGGATGATTTTCATGACAAGACTTGCTAATGTCTGAAAGAAAAATGCTCTGCAATTACTGGATTCAAAATTCAATATTTATTAGTCAAATACTCACTGGTGCCTCAAATGCTTTCTTAAGAGTCAACATCTCATATAGTATACATCCAAGAGCCCATATGTCACTACGTTCATCATACATTTGTCCTTGACAGAGTTCTGGTGATAAGTATGATGGTGTACCCAGCACAGTACTGGCCTTGCTCTGACTGTAGAGGAACACAAGATATATATTAAATAAAAATCATCCACTTCTTAAATTACTCTGTAGAAATGTAATACCTTGTTAGAACTTTGGATATTCCAAAATCACCTATTTTCAGGATTGGCATACTGTAAACACTTGGCTCATGGCTAACAAAAATATTGTGTGTTTTAAGATCTCGATGGAGAACTTTTTGACTGTGGATATAGTACAGTCCTTCTACTATTTGAGTGAACATCTGAAGAATTTCCTACAAACAAAAAGTAAAACTTTTAGTGGGAAACGGAAAGATTATGTTCATTATGTAATACTTAATCGTACATCCTGCTGTATAAGTTTCCCATCTTGAACTTGAATAAGATCATGAAGGCTTCCCTTGTTTGCATACTCCATTACTATCTTAACTGATGCATCTTGAACAAAATTATCAAAATATGCCACAACATTAGGATGTTTGAGCTTCGATAGCACCCTTACTTCATTCAACGTTGCCTGTTACAAAGAAATGTTATCAGCTCCTCCCGTTTATCTCCCTTCTAAATTCTAGGTAAAATGCTGGCTGAAATACCTTTTTTTCATCTTCATTTAGATGGTCTACAGCAACTTCTTTTACAATCACAAGTTTATTATGTTGCTTTTGGCGATGTAAGGTAACCAATCTGTGAAACAGGAACACTGTATCAGGTTCTCTAGCTAGAACAATTGGGCCATTTGTGATCTGTTTGTAAATGAACACATTTACAGACCCATGGGATCCTCTTCCAACTACTCTGATTTTTTCATAATGTTCCATTTTGAACTCCAAAACTTATCAAGAAATTTTCTATTGTGAAAGTCGTTGAAAGTGATGAGGAAGGAGTGAAAGTAGATTAGGGAAAACAGCTGACTGTTTTCTTGTTGTTGTTTTTTTAGCCAATTGAGGAAAGGGGGGGGGGGCAATTAATGTATATAAACATGATTACCAACTCACATAATTTAGGAAAATGAAAATAGAAGAATTAAAAAGATGTACTGACAGTAGTTCATGAAAATATTTTTCCATGATTTCCATAGTCTATATTTATTGAAGACTAGATCTTATAAATGCAATAACAAATAACACCAAAACAACAGTTTAAAAAAGAAGAAAAAAATGACAAGTGTAAAAAAAAATTACAATCTCTCTAGATGAGTAGTTTCAATACAGCACAAAAATCAAGGTAAAGAAACCATTATAAAAACTAATTACAATGTTGTATTTACAAACAATGAAAGCCAAATATTAATGCAAAATACAACTCAAAGGAATATCATTATACTACAATACTACAATAACATAATTCCAAAACCTTATTTTCTGAACAGACCAACACAATCCAAACAAATTTTCTGAATAAGAAGAAATTAAACATGAAAAAAGCTGATTCACAGTTTCTGCCCTAATAAATTTGGCAGGTACATAAATTGTGAGGAAACTATCATACTCTGATACTAGATCCAAGGAAACGGACAGGTACACAGGAGTCTAAACAATTAATAAATGGCACAATTCTTTCAACCATTTGCAGATTGGATAATGTGAGGAAAAAGCAAGTCTTTGGTAAAAATAATTACACAGAACAGACAAGTTTAGAAATAAAGTGAAAACATAAATGACATTGATCCGCATTGATCACATTTTACAGAGTCACAAGATAAAAATGTCATTTAGGTGTGATGCCACATCACCTTGTGCTGGGTAAATCATCATGGTGTGAACTGTTTGAAGCTTCTCCTAAGTTTGCACCAGGTGCTGGGATTCCATTGTAGTTTCCCCAAAGTGTTTTAGCTAACTTCTTTTTCTCTCGCTGTTGCATGACCTCTGGATGGAAGTCCTTGCGTCTTCTATTTTGGAACCAGTAATCAACATTTTGCCTCATAGGGTGTGCACCAATACTCCCTGTAAAATAGAGATAAATTTAATTATTCTGTCAACAACAAAAGGCAAAATAGATTATTATTATTATTGTTTGACAGGAGAAAACCTTACCTGGCGTGTTAGGTACCATTGCAGCTAAAGTGTCTGCATACTCACGCATCAGGGCTCCACTGGGATACCTATCTTGACGATACCAAGCTTCCAATTGCAGGAGTTGATCCTGGTTGTACAGTACCCTATGTCGATATGGTCGACTTGTACTGCCACCCCCTGCTGATCCAGCATTGTTGCTAGCATGTGTTATTTGATGCTGGAGCGATGGTGCTTGAGGTATCTGAGGATGGTGTTGATTTTGAATGTTGGCGCAAACTCCTGGAATATAATACTTTCCTTTATCCCTTGCACCTAATGCTATAATATTAAGTTAAAGAGTGTTCTTTTAACATACCACCATAAGTAGGACTGTGAGAAGAATCATCCTGCATGACTGGCATCACAAGCTGACTAAGCCCATCCAAAGATGTAATCTAAAATTAATAAGATTATTTAAGATCATCCTACTGTATATTTTCTACCCCCAAAAAATATTACTTACTGTTCTCTGTACTGCATATTGCTCTGAATGAATATGTGAGAGATCTTCTGATCTAATTGAACAGTCTTGGTCAGGAACAGTTCCTTCATCGGCACTACCTTCATTTCCAATACTTCCGTCAAGATCCTAATATAACAAAGAAAAAGAAAATTTCACAAAAACTTTCTTTTAGAATGAGGCAACACTTTAAAAGTTTGTTCTATGTGCTCACTTGATGTGGCAGATGTCTTACAGAGTGTTGGTATTGTGAAGTGTTCTGCTGTTCTGTTTTGATGCGTTTCACATTTACAGGTGAAATTCTGTTGATTGATGAAGTTGGATCATGATCAACTGCATTCCCATCTTCATCCAGAGACCGTCTGTTACCGTTTGCAATCTGCTAGATAGAAATAAAACAATGACTTAATAGAGAATATTTTAGAATGTATCTTTTTACTGTCAAAGCGTAAACGCAACCTTTAAGGGACTTATTGTTGAGGTGTTACTGGATAGGGCACTGTCAGTCAATCCTCGAATATGAAGTGTTTCAGCAGTTCGTAGAAAGCCTGGCAGTATATCATTGTTCACAGTCACTTCACCATGATACATGAATTTGACCAAAGCTTCTAATTCCTGGTATCTCACGTCTTTCAAAATAACTATAGGATGTGGGTGGCTGCTTTCTTGAAAAAGCTCCTAAAATTTATGTAAACAAGCACAGTTAGAGAAGGCAATGTAATAAATGTTAAAGATATGTAGGAAGAATATCCTTTAGTCAGAATACAAACCTGGAAATATGTGGAGCAGGCTGAAAGAACAGCCCGGTGGGCACGTAATGATCGCCCATCACAGGCCAGAGTCACATCAACAAGCAGTTCTCGATCAAGAAGAGTTCTCAAAGCTTCGCTCAATTGTTGAGAGTAACTTGACCATCTCAAACAAAAGTCTTGTAGCTCAGACATCTGAAAAGAAAAAATCAGGAGTAAGACTTAACATTTGGTATGAATAATTGGTAAGGATAATAAACGTTTAATCTTCTAGCAAGCTGCGAAGACAGGGTCCAATTACATCAAATTACTAGCAAGTTTGAAATTTCACGACATTAATAGTTTAACGCCAAAGATATTAACAGCATTAATAAAATTGACATAAGTTAGAGAAAGGTTTCACCCTCCCAAAGAGCCTCAGATTCATAGTGATGTAGGGTTAGCGGGGAATATGAAGGAGGACTTTTCTTCCGACCGAAACCGTTAAGTGTACAACAGTACCACGCGAGGTAACTCCTCGAGCACACCGGGTCCGAAAATAAGAGTAAGCTGGGCTTACTTTAGTGAATTTGTGCGATTCTGGCCTATGTAAACAAACACCCTTCTCACCTTACACACGATATGTCACAGAAATAGACCTCACGGCCCTTGTTATAGGATCCAATTCAACACCAAATGTCAATGATGACAGAGTGCTCTTCTCCCAAAATCAAAATAGACGGCTGTTTACATCAATGACCAGGTACATCTTGGTGAAATTCGTCCGTCTGCTGTAGTCTGCTGCTGCTGCTTTTTTTTTTTTTTTTTTTCCTCTTGAAGTGTCTTGCCCAGGCTAGCGGCCCTCGTGTGAGAGGTGCGCAGAG